TTGTCACGGCTTGGCATTCCAAGGCATATGGGGGATTGTCAAAATTATGGTCCCTTTTTGGGTCCCTATTATAATACGGGGCCTAATACGGGGCCTAATTTAGGGGACCCAAAGAGGGACCATAATTTTGACAGTCCCCCAATTAGTGCGTAGGCCTCTTTGCACAGCTTCCGGCCCCCACGTGCATCCAAGTTTCATAGTAGTTTTGGTAGAACTTCAGTCCACCCGCTATGAGTGCGCATGGTAGTGAGATCCCAAGCGCCTTGGTCGGAGGAGATACCGCAATGCCCGAAACCCAGGCAAAGAATCTGCTCCCAAAATGCCCCCGCAGCAGCGACACGGGAACCCCCTGGATGCCAAGTATATACCCTAGAGCGTCCAAGTGCCCAAATATCAGGGCTCTAGGGTGCAAACTACCATTAAAAATTGTAGTACTTGGGGCCTAAATCCTCCAATATTCGGGTATTATAGGACCTTCCAGGCACTACAGTACACAGGTTGCCTGCACTCTTTGGGCTTTTAAGCACCAGGCCGACCAAAACCGATTCTGCACGAGCAAGAAGCAAATATTCCAGAAGGAGCAGCCTCAGTTGCTCTATGGTCTCAACGCGGTTTAGGGTTTAGGGTTTAGGGTTTAGAGTTATACAGGGTTTAGGGTCTCAACTCCTAGTATCCCCCTTACCTAGACCCCCCAAGTACCCTCTATAGACCTAAGTATCCCCAAATAGAAGCTACATAGACCCTATTTTAGGGTACTTGGGGGGTCTAGGTAATGACCCCCATAATATAGGGTTTAGGGTTTATTGCTTACTTTCGAATATCCCCCTTAGTAACCCCTATCTCACTCCCATGTGTTACGGTTTAGGGGTTATGGCATTCTTGGGTTAAGGCGCTAGTCCCTGCTTGTATACCTCAAGTTTTGGTTTCGTACTATGTGCCAGTAGGTTTTTAGGGTTAAGGGTTTAGGGTTTAGGGTTAAGGGTTTAGGGACGACTACTCATTTTGAGAAAGCCCGCGGCTCCAACCACCCCAAATAGTCACGAAAGCAGTCAGGAGAAAGTCGCCAGCATGTCGGGATAATATCTCCACACATACTCCAAGTAACCTCTATTGAGCCCACAGAACCCAAAGCAGGCCCCGTAGCTTGCCTATAAATCCTAAACCCTAAGCCCTAAATCCTGAGCCCTAACCCTAGACCCAACTCAAAACCAGGTCGAAGGTGCACGTTGCGCTCGAGTATCTCATCCTTGTCAAGGGCTGAAAATCGGGATTCGGCCTCTTGCTTGCCACGCAGCATCGTTTCCTTCGTGAAAGGTTTAATTAGGGCTTACCCTTTAGAGCTTTGAGTGCGGGCTTCTGACTTATAGGGTTTTGCGCTACTTCTGTCATGGCACAGCAAGGCTCTTCATGTAAAGTGTCGAAAAACATCCCATTCTGCTCCAAGGCGCCAAATTATCTGTCGTCGAGAGGATGCAGACTTGTCTTTGAGGGAAAACTTCTCAGTGGTTCTGTTCGACTTCGGGGTACTCGCGCGTGATGAGGCCATGGGTTGCACTGCGGCTACAACAAGTAACCTTAGGATCAGCCCCTAAACCCTGGTAACGGATGGTAACGGTGCGTAAGAAGCTCTTCACCCACTCGCAATCTACCCATGCAAAACTCCAGTTTCAGGAAGTGCTGGTGTATGTTGGTATATGGGGGCCGTGCCGAGAAGAAGCCCGCAAAGCCCCGGATGTCTGCAATTACCCTGCTGTCCCACTACAGGATGCAGCGTATGAATCCAAGTGCTGTGTGTCCCGTGCGGTGCCGACTATCTGGTTGATATGAGTTTGAGCCACCCCTGCTCACCCAGGAAGCACTCGCATTAACAGTCGGGCGGACGTGAAAGGGGTCTGGGTTGTCAAAAAGGCGGCCTCTTTTTGGGCATCCTAAAAATGCAAGGGCTGCAGTACACATGGATGGACTCAGCGGAAACCCTGCCCTACTCCTGACAACATGTCTCGGACTGGCCTTGCCTGCCCAGCTGACGGAGGCCTCCAGATCTCACAGCATCTTAGCTGGAAAGTGCAAAGGATATCGACTGTTGCTTGACACACTGCTTCCCGCATGCTTCTTGTCTTGCATAGGGCTTGGACGCCGGAGTCTCAAGGCATCTGGTGCAGCGAGGGCAGTCAGCATTTTCAGCAGTGTCGCGGCGGTAAGAATTTTGGGTCCACCTCCCTATGAAACGGTGAGACACGGCTCTCTGTGTGAGCCACTGAATTCAACCTTGCTGAGCACACTTCAAACTATACCGGCAGGCTTCAGACTTGGTTCTCATCAGACTTGCTGCTTGCAACTTTACTGGATCGCGTAGACTTGCTCAATGTGGTGGTAGTGCGTGCGATGCCCTGTAAATCCTCAAACTTGGTCCTGGCCACCTTGTGCTTGCATCGCAGGGCTCTTACGAACTCCTTTTCATCATCCTTTTTCTCCAACATCTCATCACGCTGCCGACTCCTAGGTTCTCCAGTAACCCCTTAACTTACAAGGGTACCCTCTTCCTAACAAGGAGACCACAAAGTAAAAAGGTTCTACCGGAATACGTGCTACTATAGACCCTAAACCCTAAACCCCTTAACCCTTAAACCCCTAAACCCTTAAACCCCTAAACCCTTAAACCCTTAAACCCTTAAACCCTTAAACCCCTAAACCCCTAAACCCTGACCTAGACTCATGTCGCGGATTTTCTGGGCACGCTTGCTCGCTGTGGCGCGGAGCGTGTCGAGCTTCTTCTGCAAGGTCTCGAGCTGTTGGGTCAACTGTTCGACCTCAATGTGGCGCACCCTCTGAATAGCCTGGGCTGCTGTTGAGGAAGTTAATTTAAACTTCTATACTAGGGAACCCATGTTCATTACTGTATAACCCATCTTGGCAACTTATTTTGAAACTCCTTGACCGCAGCCCGGTAGCAGAATTGGCTTCGAATTCTTGGACAAGAAGTTTTGCCTTACTCGCCTCATCTGACAGGGCAAGGTTCAAAGTGTGTAGGTCTGACTTCAACCTCTTTGTCGTCTCTTTGCTCTCTATGAGAGCAGGGGCATCCAACTTCTGCTTCAAGCGCTTGTTGAGATCTCGTGCTTGCTCAAGCTTCTGGGTGAGTTCCTCTTTCTCATCCTGCAGCTGTTCCTTCATCTTGCCCACTTGTGACTCTGAGGCCTTTTTGCGCGAGGCATCCTCCTTCTTCACCTTTTGCAGCGTTTGCTGCAGCTTCTTAACTTTCTGCTGGTGAGCCTGGTTCTCCCTGTGGTTGTAGGCCTTGTCTTGCTTGAGCTGCGCACGTAAGGTGTCCAACTCTTCGTCAAGCTGTTTCTCCTCGTCCCACATCGCCTTGTAGCGCTGGAAGTTTGCATCAATGACTGCATCGTCCTCTGCATAGAGCTCACTCTCCATCTCTTCCCAATCTGCAAGCTTGGCAAGTGAAATATCGGTTTCGCACTCAGCTGTTGTGAATGCTTCCGAGGAGACTAGGTTCTTTTTCGGAGGTGGAGCTGCGGCCATCTGCACGAACAGCTCAAGCTGCTCAGCCATATTTGTTGCTCCACAGGCACCGGACATCATGGCCAACATTGTTGGCTGCTACTTGGTGTACGGGAGACTTGCACCCCTGAGCAGCAGTAGTGAGCTGTTGGCCTGAGACTGAGGTATGTTCCAAGCATAGGTGCTAAGTTGTTCGTTGCATCTCTGCTTCATGGTCCCTGTCGGGATCAAAAAATGCCGATCTGCCGTCTAACTCGAGCTTAGACAGCTGGCAGGGCGGCCTTGATACTGCTCTAGCAAGATGACATGGTGCACAGCGGCCACAGCCAAATCAAGTCCATGAACAGAACCCTAAGTGTCCAAGTACCCAAATACTGTGGGCTGTAGGCCCCAAATAATACAATCTCATCTTACTGGTATCTTGGACCTAAAGCCCTAATATTTGGGTACGTGCACACTCTAGGCAAAAAAGCAGCCAAGCACATGCCAAGAAGCAGTCTGAACTCGTAAGGACTGCTGAGTCACCACAGGCCCTGTGACTGTCATGCGACTTTGATATGATCTTGGTCTCGGTGGGGCTGGAGCTGTCTAAAAAGAATGACAGTAATAATCACAGCAATAACAACAATAACAGTAAGAATAACAGTAGCAACATTAAAGTCTTCACTATCAATACCTTGCGGGCAGGCCTGTGAATCGGCGCCCAGGTCGTCTCCGCGAGGAGCGGACGTGGTGCAGCAGGCGTTAGCATCTTCCTAGACCCTCCACCTACCCTCTATTAGGGCTTCAGTGCCCGTGTCTAGCAGCCATATATCCCCAATTAAGGGTACTAGGAGGGCCTTGATTGTGGGGATCTCTGTATATGTCACAAACATACTCATCAAGACGTCACCAAAATTCCCTGACAGTTTTTTCTTGAAGATCTTCAACGAAGCTGCCGAGGTTGGCTACGAGAAAGAGACTGTTGTGAAAGTACTCGCTCAGAGCCATGTGTTTAGGGCAAATTTTCCGGATTAAACTGGTGCATTACATGGCACCCTTTAACCCGCAAGAAGGCCCAGTTCGATTGCGTCTTAAGATTAGCAAGCGATGCCGCAAATCGACGCCCGACCAGTTTAACGTCTTCCAGATACTGCATGAGAGTTCTCAAGAAGTGTTTGATGTCAGCATGAGAGCCACGCAGCAGCGTTGTGCTTTCGGGATACGATTTTTGTGGAAAAGGCGACTACCTCCAAGGCGTGCTTTCACCTACTTTGCTTGTCACCTTGAGCCAAAGTCTTCTTCAGAGGGTCCAAGTACCCAACAATCAGGTACTTGGGTTTGGGGTAATAGTAATTATAGTCAATTATAGTATAGGTTTGGGGTAAGTATATGATTATTAGGTACTTGGAGCCTTAGGGTTCTTCCATGGCAAAGGATGTTGTTTGTTTCGGCTTAGTAGGGAATGCATGAGTGGGTTAGCATGTGGATTATCATTTGGAGGGGAACATGTTGTAGGGGTTGTGGTAGGGATCCCTTCCTACATTCCGCACCCTGAACCCTATACAGCTCTTATGAATGAGATTATGCTTCACATTTTTCTTTCCCCGGCAGGGATTTTGACGGGGATGCATTCCTACGTTCGCCAGTATCAAGACATTGACCACAAATTCCAAACGGGAATCGTACCCTCAGGATCCAAGTCTGTAAACGTGACACCTACTTTGGGCCCTGAAGTCTACAACTATTACCTATTTTGTGCGATTTAGATCCCTAAGGATAGGGTTATGCAGGATGTCTTGTCTCAACAGCCGTGGTCCAACGCTGATACATGATGAGTAGTCATGCAATTTGTGGTTATAATGAGGTTCAAAAACATGCTAGTTTCTATACTTATGTTTATTGTTATGAATCCTGCGCCATCACAGCAGTGCTGCCAGCACACGGACCTAGTATGCACCAGGACATCAGCAATGTTTGCTGCATTCTGGTTCGGCCTGAGCACAGGATCAGCTATCATGTCGTACCTTCCAAAGCAAGGGCCGCAAATGAACAACACATATTATGGGGATGCTGCACAGCCAGAACCTAGAAGGAAACCCTGCAGCATGCATGTCTGGAAAGCCACGACGGTCACAAAACAGCTTTAAGGGCTTGACTCTAGGCTCAGCCACAGCCAGTGATTTTCTGCTTCCTCCCTCGGAAATGGGCATTCCTTCCAGGACGTGCAATCCCACGGGGCCACGGGCGCGTGGCACGGGCCGCGGGGGACGTGTATGAAAGAAATGTTGAGCAGTACTATACTGCTCTTTACCCATGATTAACACGGCGGGTTTACTCAGCATGCCTTGCTGAAGCTAAAATCGCTGCAAAGTGCTAGTCCCTTGTGACTCCTTACGGTTGGTGTCAAGGATATCCATGATGTGGGCTGCTCTAGGAGTCAAGCCAAAGAGCAGGGCATCAGATCTCTTCTGTTGATTCGGGTTTAGGGTTTAGGGTTTAGGATTTTGGAAATACAAGTCTCTCACGGGAGGTATGTGCGAGTACTTTAGTTCGAACCCATAAGCATGATAGCAGTAGCTGACTTATGAGCTCTAGTCTAAACTCCTAGTACCCCTCCTAGTAACTCCTATTGCACTCCCCTACATAATCCCCGTAAGAAGCCTCTCTAAGGAGTTCAGACCCTGAACCCTAAACACTATATAATCCCCTGTAAGGAGTTTAGACCCTTAACCCTGAACCTGATATAATCCTCTTTAAGGAGTTCAGACCCTCAACCCTAGACCCTATATAATCCCCTATAACCCCCCTTTTAAGGAATTCAGACTATAGCTCATATGGAATGGAGACAAAGTTGTCCCACAGGCCTCGCCGAAATGAGACTTGCGGAAGAGGCAGGTCGTTCCCAGCAGGCACTCCTGTGCGTTTAGGGTTTAGGATTCAGGGTTCGGGGTTTGGGACTTAAGGTTTAGGATTTAGGGCTTAGGGTTCAGGGTTTAGGGTACCGCGCCAGGCTGCCCCGAATGTTCAACAACGTGTTTTCGGGTTTAGATCATTTTACCCCACTCCAGAAAACAGCAAGCAGTACCTAATCTCCTTTGCTGGCGAGGCTGGTTTCGAGATTACCTTCTTCCATGGGACCCCAAACAGCCCAACTTAAAAGGGATGGTAGTCTTCGTAGGGACCCTTTGGGGCTCCGTATTTGTTTGGGGGAAGCTATTCCCCAAACCTAATATACCCCCCCGCGCACGCTATAACCTTAAATATCCTCCTAAACCCTTTAAAATCGCACCCATCTTGATGTGGGAGAAGGAAAATCCTAAACCCTGACGCCCATAAAGCCGCAGCCATGTTAGTTTGGAAGACCCTAAATTCTAAACCCTAAACCCCATGAAGCTGCAGCCATGTTAGTTTGGAAGACCCTAGATCCTAAACCCTAAACCCCATGAAGCCGCAGCCATGTTAGTTTGGAAGACCCCAAATCCTAAACCCTAAACCCCATGAAGCCGCAGCCATGTTAGTTTGGAAGACCCTAAATCCTAAACCCTAAACCCTAAACCCCAGTTAGTTTGGAAGAGGGTAGAGCTTGTCCAGATGAGTCGTGTTTTTTGGTTGTTGAACCTAGTAAGATTATGTTCCTAATATAAAATACTATACCCCAAAAGGAGGATAGAATCTTACTCTATAATGGGTACCATAGTATCCCCAAATAACCCTAAATCCTAAACCCCTAAACCCTAAACCCTATTGGGTACCATAGTATCCCCAAATAAAACACTACTCAGATGTCCTCGAAGATGGAAGCTGCCCGAACGAGTGAGGGATGCATCCTGCCCAACTGCCCGGATTTGGGGTTTAGGGTTAAGGATTTAGGGTGTAGGATTTAGGGTTGAGGATTGAGGGTGTAGGATGTAGGGTTAAGAATTTAGGGTGTAGGATTTAGGGCTAAGAATTTAGGGTGTAGGCTCTAAGGTTCATAGGATTTAGGGTGTAGGATTCAGGGTTTAGGGTGCTTAGGATTTTAGGTTTAGAGTTTAGGGTTCCTGGTTTAGGGTTGAACTGCGAGGAAGGGATGTTACGTCAATAGCGGAGAATCACATGGAAAAGAAGATCGAACATGAAATGGATACTCGGGTTCGTGAGGAGATATACGTGGAGAATCAGATGGAAAGGAACATGCCTAATGAAATGGATACTGGTTTTGAGGGTTTAGGGCCTAGTAAAATCTTTGTAATGATAGAGAAGCAGACGGAAAACCAGATAGAAACTAAAATGGAACCTGGGATCATGCTAACGAGTTGTTGGATTCATAATCCCTCCCCCTACTAACAGAAACCAGAAAGATGCCCCCCGGAGGTAATGGTACAATATTGGATACATCTCGACCTACAAACCCCCAGCTTCCGTTTCATTTTCCGCCTTCTTTTCCATTTGGGTCTCCATTACTAAGGGTAATATGTCATATTTCTATATATAGCCTCTATAACCCCAACATACCCCTTTCAGAAACTTAGAGTTTCCATTTAATGTTCCATGTTCTTTTCCATCTGCTTCTTCACTATTGAATCGTGTTCTTTTGGTGGTTGAACCTAGTAAGATTATATTCCTTATATAAAATACTATACCCAAAAAGGAGGATATAATCTTACTCTATATTGCGTACCATAATATCCCCATATAAAATACCACTCTATTGGGCTGAGTCTCCGACCATCTGCTGCCCTGAGCCGGCTCTAGCGGATCCCGACGCAGCAGGAAGACCTGCCACAATGGTCCACGTTTGGGGGGTGGATCTCATAAGCTGTTATGAGGTTCAAGAATTGGGGTTTAGGCTTGAGTGGGGGTTTTGTGAGTTTCGTTTTTCGGAGATTGGATTTCGGGCAAGTCGATGATCTGATACGATCCGATTGGGTCCTCAGATGCTTACGGGGTCTTACGTTTCGAGGCCAGGGCAAGCACTCGACGGGCTGCAGATGTTGCCCGTCTTGGTTGCATACGACAGTTCGCTTCTGTTGTCGAATCATCACCCTCCTTCTGCCTCCTTTAGCAGCAATACCTCGATCAGTTCTCAGGACGCTTACTAGATGCCCTGCATTCTT